CTTGTACTTCATCAAGCTTTCGAACGTATTTGTATTGGTCGTCAATATGCAGATATACCTCGTGGTTTATTTGTAATTCGCGGTGAAAATGTTCTACTTATTGGTGAATTAGATTTTCATCAACCATTACGTGTACCACTTGTTGAAGTAACAATTGAAGAAATACTTAAATTACAAAAAGAAGATATTGAAAAAAAAGAACGTATAGAAAAACTTCGACAAAAAGCAATGATTGAACATGGTCTTGTTGATGAAGGAAATCCAATTGAAGAACATTATTAAACAAATTAAAAGAAAAGATAAAAATTATAAAACACGTTAAACGTTTTGTTTTTTTATCCTTATAAATTTCATTTTTTTTTTCTCAACTATTTTCACAGATAGATAGATCGATACAGATATATTATTGTTGTCGTTTTTTTTTCGTATTTGTCGATGTTGTAATGATGAAAGCAAGTTTTTAGATATGGATAGTACTAATGATGCACCTTATGCATTGGATTATTCAGAATCCATGGCATTTTTTAATAGTGCTTATAATCCAACAAGTGCACAATCGATTACAGCAACTGAATTTGATATTGCTCAAGAATTACTATGGGCTGGTAGTAATGAGGTATAGTGATTGAAATTCAGCAATCGTTGAGATGGAGATGTTAGTTTTGAATATTATTAGTGGAACAGCTAGAAAAAAAATGAGTCTAGTATTTCCTTTCTGGAGATGTAAATTTACTTTTACACATAGGGGAATTTCGAATATTGAATATCTCAGGATAGGAGATGCTAGAAAACTTACAACTTACCCAATGAGCCAATTTCATTGAGAACTTTGTTCGTACAAAGTTTTGCAGTCGAAAGTCGATTTTCCACGTGACCTAAGAGGGACCACAACTTTTTTTTTTTGGAAAAACCCGGTATAACTTCGATATTTCTAGAACAATGGCCTGGAAAATCAAACCATTCTAGACTTTTCCATTATTTTAAAGACTACAGAGTAGTTCGAAATTCTACTTGATTCTTCATATTCCTTAGCTAGTCAATTACACTCTATAATTTTTCTTCTGAGGGGCTCACGAAGCAACCACCCGAAGTGATACTCCCTGTTTAAGCTCATACTTGGCCTATAAGGAGGTGTCGGTAAAACTAGAGGAAGTTTAAAAGGGCTCGTGCCCATGATACTTTGGGGATAACTTGGTTCTAATGGTGGATGGAAACGAACCCTTTTAGACTTTTACCAATCTCACCAAAGCGCAATATGAGCTCAAACGGTGAATGTCAGCTTCAGTGATTTCCTCGTCAATTCCATCAACCCATTGCCTGACTTCACCACTTATGATTTAATTTTTGGTTATTGCTGAACTATAGAGATTTATCTAGACAAGATTTTTATGACAATTAAGGGTCGTGTGGCATCTTTTTATGGCTGTGAGCTTCGCAAATACACTGGTTTTCGTGTATCGACAACATCAGATATTCGTAGTATATTATCAATAACTGAAGGACCACTTATTCTCACATCTGATTCACTCTCATTATATACAAGACAAGGTTTAAATATATTTCATCATAGGTAATACCAATTTCGTTTCCTTTTTTTTTCAAAATTGACTTTATTTATTTTTTGTTCTAGAGCTCCTTACCTTGATAATATGCAATGCATGTTAATGCCTCAATCTCATAAACAAAAGAAAATTTATATTGGTGGTTATGGTGGACAACTATGCGAAATGGACTTCGATAAAAAAACTCTACTTCGACAAGTAATTGACAATAAAAAAAAAAAAACAACAACAATATCAAATAAATATTTCTAAATTTCTCTTTTATTCAAGGTATCACTTGATGAAGGTGATTGTATTATATTAAAATATTGCACAAGAAACTTTATTGCAACGGGTTCAACAAATGGTGTTGTTAATTTACGTGATCCAAATTCACTTCAAGTTATACAACGTTTTACTCCACATCATGGCAGTTTATCAGATTTAGATATTAATAATATGTATTTAGTCACATGTGGTTTTACACGAAAGTACAAAAAAACAAATATGTATTTTTTTTTCCATATAATCGTTAATTTTTTAGAATGGATCATATGAATCTCGATCGATTTCTTGTTGTATATGACCTAAGAAATATGCAACAATTAGCACCCGTACCTGTTTTTATTGATCCATGTTTTTTACATTATCATACAATGACAAGTACTTCAGTTATGGTTGCATCTCAAGTAAATATTTCTTCGATTTATTCGTATCGTAAAACAAATACATTAAGTGAAAAGTATCTAGCATACTATAGTTGTTTTTCAATTATAATCGATCATCAGGGTACTGTGAGCAACAACGTGAGCATAAGATAAAACAATGAAAGTGAACTTCTTCGAAATCTGAATAGTAATTCATACATTTTGATTACAAATCAGTTTTTTGGTAGAAAAAAAAATTGTCTCAATTGTTAAATTCATTGGGAAAACTAACGACGGGAGGCCCACAACTGATACATGGCTTTTAAGTTCGGACAATATGTATAATGTAGCTCGTAATAAACTATGAATACCCTGAAAAGAACTCGAGCTGTCAGCTTATTGTTGTCGAGATAATGCTTTTTGGTGGTATTTTTTGGTACAATGCCATAGTTCACCTCAGGGACACCAACAAAATTCATTTTTGAATTTCAATTTAAAACTTTGCAAATAGGTAGACTTTAATGAGACTAGTTTATTGTGAAAGTTTCACGCACGTTGTCTGGATTCAAAATCAAGGTATTAGTTAGAGACCTTCCCTCGTTAGCCGCAAAATGGGTCGAATTTCAGTACCATTAGAGAAAAATATAATTTGTTTTCTGCGAAAAATAAGAAGAGTTGGACAATAAACTCGCTACTATTGTCTACTAATTCGATTTTTTTCAATATTTTTCTAGTGTAGTCTGATACCTATTGCCTTAACATCCACTGTAATTTTCTTCGAAAAAATATAACTTAAGTTCATCAAAAGTTTGTTTTTATAGCAAGGACATCATACACAAGTTGATTTGACAGGTGGTTTAACTCAAACATATTCTCCAATAATTAATCTTACAACAAATCCAGCTGGAATTATAACAACATTTAGTGTATCAACAAGCATGCATTGTACAGCATTTGGACATTCAACTGGTAAAATAATAATAATAATAATAATAAATAAATAAATTTTCGAAAATATAATTATTTTTTTATCTCAGGTACAATACATCTATTATATAAAAATGATCCTCAATGTTGTTTTAATTATCAATCAGTTGAAACACAATTTGCAAATCCAGTAAATCATTATTTATTTAATTAATATTTCTTTGAAGTATTCATTTTGCGTATGTGTTTAGCCAATGGATCCAAAAGTAGGAGATCTTAACAATTCAATGTCATCTTTATCAAGTGTACCTATTCCTATAACACCACTTAAACTTCTGTCAGATATGCCTAAACAATGGACTAAACCTACAGCTAGGTATAATGCAATGAAAAAAACATATATATATATATATATTAATTTTGATTTTTGTATTTTTTTTTGTAAGACCAACACCAAAAATTCCAAGCGAATTTCTTGATAATGTTCGTGTATTTCAAGGTCTTGCATGTGTTAAAAATCCTTCAACACGTCGCGCTAATCAATGGCCATATCCACCTGATTCGGATACATTAGCACCACGTGAACAAATAAAATTTTTACCTGATGAGGATGATGATACGAATATTAATAATAAAAATAATCAAGAAGGAACACTTAATGATATTGAAGTAGCAAATCTCAATTTTGATACTCTTTCAATTAGTCAACAACATCAAGATACAATTGTAGCACCATCAACAACATAAAACTTGAATATTGAGGATCATTTTTTTTTATATACATATATATATATATTTTTTTTTCTCTATTCATGTATTCCATGTGTTGTTGTTGACTATTATATATAAAAGAAAAAAATTTTTGTTTTTCATTCGTATCTTCATATTTAAATAATTAATTACATAGAGTATTTCTTGATTTGTTAAAATATCAAAATAGGATTTTAATGTATCTGTAACAAAAGTTTACATAAATGTATTTAAGTACTGGTCAAAAAAATTAACATAATTTTTTTTCTACAATACAAAGTATTTAACTCAAATCCAAAAAGTAGTTTGAGTAGTCAACAAAGTTCTCTAGCAAATGCATTCCGTATTGAAATTTCATCAGTGAATTATAAGAGGAAAGTATCTAGAAAATCAAACATTGTAGTTTTCATGTATTAGACAACTGAAAATTAATCTTTAAAAGTATTATCTTAAAGAGCATCAAATCGTGATTATATCCGCAAAATGTTATAGTCATTACAAAAAGATACATTTTTTTTAGCAATGTTGTGATAAATTTCGCTTTGCAATGTTTATAACTTTGTAACGAGAGGTCGCACAACCGTGTTTTGTTTTTCAGAAACTTTTCTCTCATAGGTCATCTATGAAATACATTGACTATTCAAACCAGTGTTCGCATTTGAGTTAAATGCTTGATATTCTAGAAAATAATATCAAACATAACTTACATTGGTCTTATATTTTTGACCAGCACTGTATAAGTAGACATTTACAATTTAACCTAATTTATAGAGATGCAAAGAGAAGTGTTGATAGATTTTTACAATATTGTTATTATGTGTTCATTTTTGTGTTAACCCTTTATTGAGAATAAAATTCTTTTACAATCATAGCACAATGACAGTTCAAAGCGGGATGGGGTGTGTAAACGAATGAAGGGTATACCAACCTTCACAAACACCTACACCTACCCTAATAAAAATGGTTTAACCATGCCTTATGTGTTGCATACTAAATTGTTATAAATCGAACTATTTTTCACAATTTATTTCCGCTATCAATTTATTTGGATAATTTATAGTAAAACTCTATTTCACATATAAATATATCCCAATTATAAATTCAAGATTATTAGAATAATTTACAACAGTTGTTTTTAATTGTTCTCATGTGTAGAAACAATGTGTTTCAATTCCTTCATTACTTTTGATGATGCAGCTCTTGCTGGTAATTCAATATGTTTTTCACGTTTATAAGTATGCTTTTCTTCACTAAATCTGATTCCTTCGACTTGCTGCTGAATTTGGACTCCAGTGATAGGTAATTTGTAGAGAGTAGTAACCAGTTTAAAAACTTCATCAGGCTTTAGAACATCTTGTAAATCTTCTGATTGCTTTTGCTCTTTTAATGTTTTTTTCAATAGTTCCATATTCTCTCCAAATTCTTTCATTAAGTTATTTAGACCAACAATAACATCGGAGTTACTAGCTCCAGCACTCTGTTTCATTTGTTCTTCACGAATAAAGTATTGAAGATATTCCACGACATCATCATTTATTGCCACAATAGCATTTGCATGAAGAAATATTGCTACTTTTTTATAAACTTCTTTAATTTTGGTTGCTTCTTCTCGTAAATCACTAATACGTTTATCAATGTCATTCAAAGTCATGACAACACGTTCTGTTTTATGTTCATAAGTGATATGCTTATGTTGCAACCAGTGACATCCACATATTCCACAGTCACCTAAATAAACAAAATAGAAATCATATAAAAATTTATAAAAGAATTTTCATATTAATCAAAATAAAAACTCGTATTTATATTAGACGATTCGTCATATTTGTTTCGTTTTTTCTCAGTGAACGAAATGTGCTAATAAAACATTCTTATGTACATGTATAGAATGCAATGAAATAAAACTCTAGTCGCAATAGAAGATTCTGAATCTTCTATTATGTACAATAGCACAAAATTATAAGAGGCTCTTCTATTACGACCATTCTATTTGCATCGGCTGGAATTTGGTAGACAACACAAATGAAGGAATTTCAATATGTTGCATATGTAGTTGATAAATATAAGATATTGCAAGCTTTATCGTTTTCATTATGACATAGATCTGAGAAAGCACAAGTTACGTCATAGTAACATGCCAATGCTCTAATTTATGAAACATACATGTTTACATAGGAAGTATACGGAATGAATGCATTTATATGTAGAAACTCACACGACTAAATGCTTTATTCCTATTATCTTATAACCAGATTCTTCAATGGTATCTGTTACAGTATTTTATGCATTATGGAAACCAAGCAGCAGCGTTCCTCTAAAAGTGATGTGGACATCCTACAGTTTGTATCTTTTCTATTATGTAATAAATGCTTTTACCTTCGAAAATGGATGTTCGTCTTCCCTCAGTTTTCAGCTCATCTCTCTTGAAGGGAAAATTTTGATAAAACAGTAATCTATTAGGAGTGGCCAGTTTACATTTACAAAAGTTTATTAAATCCAAAAATAAATTTTAAAAATTTTAAATTTAAATTGACTGAATTTAAGTTTAAAATAAATTAACAGCAAAATGCTACCCCTATAATCTATCCACTTGAGTCTTTTATCGCTCTGTGTCATGTCTTGGCTTGATCTGTAGCTTTTTGGCTACTAGTGATATAAAAGACAATAAAAGACTGTTTTTCTCTTAAATCATTGCGTGGTGCACCAACTAGTTCTCAAAGATGTTGAGGGTAAACTATTTTCGTACCATATACATAGACGGAAAAAAATTTCAAACCTTTACCTTGTAGTAGAGATGTACCAGTTCCAGTCGCGATTGAGTGACTGGGTAGCAAGCACTGTTAGATATTCAATTTATTAAGGCTATATAGCGGAGTTACCCATAATTCTGGAAGGCTTCTCATAATGGGGTACCCGTAAATATTCATAGACCATGATGGGCTTATCTTCAACCAATTCTTCTATTCTACATAGGGCGTGATCATGGTTATGTACGTACTATTGTTCGAGTGAGAGCGCGATTCTATATGCTTATATGCCAACGAATATAACGACACACTTTTCTTCTCTTTTCGACTATTTTTCGGAGAGCTATACGTCTTGACCATTTTTCAAATAGAACTATTCAATCATTACTAACATTAACCAAGACCAAACAGAGCAACCCATCTACTAGGACAACAACGAGCAGATTTTCGCCAAACACATATGCTCCTCAAGTTATGATCAACAACAACAATGAAGGCCATCACTCCCGTTAGTCCTTGAGAAGTTGTGATGACGATGTTCAGAAAAGCCTTATCCAATTATGGCAACAACCTGAGCTAGAGCACTCGAGAGACATGGCGCCTATCACCCAAACGTCCTTAAAGAGCTAAAGTGACCACGCCGTGATAGTCCCTGAAAGATAAGAAGAGCATCCTGACATACACAACAAAGACAGGTGTGGACTAATCCTACATAGTACAGAAGGAGTTATGCGTACCCCCGCTATATAGCCTTATTGAACTGGATATCCAGCAGTGCTTGCTATCCAGTCCGATCGTATTGATGCATCCCTACCTTGCCGTACCCTAGTTAGAACTTCTATTCTTACTCAGCTGGTTATATTCTATCCAGTAGGGTAGAGTGGGGTAATCCTACATCTATCCACTAGTCGTGCATCCATGGTTTTCTTCAGATTATCTATTTTCTTGTTCTTATAGAATTATAAAATACGTTGAGAAAATAAATATTAAAAGATCAAGACTTCGAACTTTTCACCTGATCTAGGATCCATTGCTGTGCAGTCTTGCAATTTATCATCATATAATGTTTCTTGTTTGACGCCTTTCAAATAACATTCTTCATGACATATGTGTATATATTCAATTTGTTTTTCATTGTTCACATCAATCATTCGACAACAATTGTCACCCACACATACTGTTCGCGGATGCGTTAGTCGGGAAACGACAGCAATATTCTGCGGTATTCCTTCTGATGCAAGTGCAGAGTTTTTCAACACTCTTTGTTTATGATCTTTAGCAAGTTGAATATTTTGTTCGATAAGTTTTGATGTTTCAGCAATAGGACGTGGAAGCGCCCGAACAAGTTGTTCAGCTTCATTCAATGAAAGAATAATAGATACAGATCTTAGTGGGCGTGTAACCAGATGTTTCATAAAACGACAATACTCTTGAACTGAATGATCCCAACTTCTAATATAGCTTTGTGTTTGTTGCTCATCCAAGGTGATATCATTTTTACGTAGTGCTAGGTAACGAAACGGTTCGCTATCAAATAAAAATGAATTCTCCATTGAAAATGGTACTTCAACATCATGACTTTTCTTATGTTCATTCAACATAGTTTTAATAAGTATTTTTGTGTTGCCTGGTGCAAAAAAAGTTGTTCGTGCATTTGTAAAGATAAAAATGATATTGTCCTTTGAATCGAGAGGCAAATGTCGTAGAAGTTCATTGACACAGAATCGAAAAGGTATAGTTAAACGTTGCTCGTCTGGTTTCAGTAATATACACAATCCATTCAAATGTTTATATTGAGAAATATAAGTTAATATTTCGATAAAATTTTTCTTATCTTGTTCAAACCCTCTAGTATCGCCGATGCCTGGGGTATCGATCATTCGTAGATTCCGATCACCAATTGAAAATATGAAGCTTCGACATTGCTGCGTGCCTGATTGACCCTCAAGACTAAATTTCTCATGTTCGTCCTCTTCACCAATAGTGATTGATGTTTCGTCAAAAGACTGTGGCGAAGTAAAAGAAAATGAAGAAGGAATAATGACTTGCATATCATTTTCGACTGCTTGTAGAAGAGTATCACTAACGATGTAGTTTGCAAAAGCATTAATAAATGTTGTTTTACCAACTCCTGTTGGCCCCAATAATAGTATGTTTATTTCTCGTTCTCGAGGACAATTCGGATTTGGCTTTAAAGTAGATTCTTCTCGTTTTGAAAGTTTTTTTGCCATTTTGATTGATCACCTGTAGCTTATTTTAAAATACTAAAATGAAAGAATTTTTATGAAGAATATTGTTCGAAATAACACAACTATTATAGTCATAGATGAAAGATAAATATTCGAAGCAAGATAATGTTTTATTCTTCTTAAACGCATATCTTTGTGAGAAGAAACACAAAGTTCGTAAGATGATTACCGAAGTTTTGTTTATCTTGCGTTCTGCTCTTCGTAATCTACGCACGGGTATATGATGGAAGAAGGAGAATACACATAAACAACACAACATTTTAATTTATTCTCAATTCTCTCTGCTAGGTTTTTCAAATTTTATGTCGACACATTTTCAGTTAATGTCGTTACTAACCAACATTCTATTTAAGTAGCGTACTAAGTTAGCAAAAAACTGACTATCAAGCTTGTATAACATCAATAAGAAATTTTCCGTTTTGTTTTTATCAGAAGAAAAACAATTTTGTCGTGTCCTTTTCAAATGTTTTTTTCTGTAAAACTTCTTTCAACTGATTATTCGTCATGTATTTCGTTACAATAAAGTAATAAAAAAAATATAACCAACAACAATAGTCATTGACATACTCTGGATAGAACAAGAAAAAAATGTGAAGTTTACAGACATACAAAGAAATCCATGTGACAACCACCGTTGTTTTGACGACGTTCTCAACACTGCAAACATAGACGACGGAAGAACAAAAGTGTTTTTTTTTCCAACATGCATTTTAAGATTTCATAAACAATACATTTTGTGCAGATATTATATACAAACAGCAATATGTCTCAAACATGGTGTTGGAACTTATTATTTCATTGAACTGAACTAACGCCTCTACATAGAATGCAATATACTATGTCTCTAATGCAACATATCTCTCCAGAACTCATTGCACGAAAGTCACGACCTAGTTTGTTCAATGATTGTTACCAATTTGGATTTTGATTGTGACAATAGATAGTACTACTAAATTTATCTATATCTTAATATTTTAAACATTCAAGACTTTTGTGTTGCTGAGCATTAAAAATTTCATTTTTGCCATCTAGGAACGGGAATTATTATGCGCCGTGCTTTCCTAAATCATGCTACTATTCACATGTAATGTTTCAAATCACAATGTTTCGTGGGTATATAGAGTGACATATGTCCCGTGTATCTGTCATATAAAAACCATCTATTATTCCTCCATAAACCCATGACTGACCATTTTGCTGTCAAATTAGACTTTTTTTTCTAAGTTTGATTTCTTTCAACTTTACAAATGAATTCGACGTTTGTCTTTATCAGTTATTACTACGAGCATTACTCTATTATAATACACTTTCAATGGTTTCAAAAAACGTTGCTCGTCTTGGTAGAAATACACACAAGTATGCGATAGTTTTGGAATACCTAAATACAAGTATTTCTACAGGATACGCATCACGAATACGAAATTGATCTTCTATTTTGATGAAATGTTTAGGATATGGAGAGCTCTCAATTCTGCGTATTTTGATGAATATATATTCAGGACTGCATAAATCACTAAAACTCAAAGATGCAGAAACAATGATTGTTACAGTATTTTTTCGCATTGTTTAGGATAGTTTCGCATATTAAAACAATGTCAAAAATTAAATCCAACACTATATTCGAATTTCTCGTGACCAAGTACATCTGACCATATCAAACTGGTTCTAAGCTGGAAAAAACAACAAGTTTTAGATCTGGTCTGACCAATTGCACAAAAACTCACTACTATCTTGTCTTCTGAATTACTCCAAAAAGCAGAGTTTCTCTGTATAGTGTCCTAGTGAAATCGATAGAGCATCATCTACCGCAGGATCCTAATCATAGAAAATTCTTAGCGCTTTCCATACTGCAAAAATATTGGTTCAGCTTTGTAAAGTAATGTTCTCATCTATTTGTACACGAGCGCTCGGCAAATGATCGTCAAAAAACATCTTTTATTTTAACGAACAACTTTTGTCTGTATCTAAATCGTCATTGGATACGACACGCATCTGATTCAGGAAGACAAGATGTTTATGAGATTTTCACTGTAAGTTAGTTAATTTATTTATCAATTCCTGTTTAATTATAAAGTGAATGTGAATTTAGATGGCAATGGAAGTTTGGCAGCAAATGATTTTTCAACGATTCAACATGCAAGTAATATTAGCATGTTTTCAATTAATTAAAGCTCAACGTCAAAATCAAGTTATTGATACTCGATTAATTGGTCGCATCGTACAAAGTTATGGTAATAGAAAAGAACCTTCAAAACTGTTTTGTTACTATAAATCATTTGAAAATTTCAGTGGATCTTGCTTTTGAAGAAAACTTATTCGCATCACATAACAGTCATGAAATAACATGGCCAACATTAAAAATTTATAAAGATTATTTTGAAATACAGTTTCTTCAAGAAACCAAAGAATTTTATTGTCATGAAGCAGCGAATTTTCTTGCTCACAATGCCATCACTGAATATCTAAAAAAAAAGGTTTTTGATTTTGTTAATCAAAACAAATGATAAAAATATTAACAACTTCCATTTTAGGTAGTTCAACGTCTTGATGAAGAAGTGCATCGAATACAATCCTATTTACATTCATCAACATTAAAACCATTCGTTAAAATAGTCGAAGAAGTACTTATTCGTGATCAACTTGAAGCCATTTACACGGAAGCAAAAGCCCTTTTAATTTATGAAAAATATTCGGATAAATAAAAACAATACTTCATAATCGACTTAGTATTACTTGAAAAAAATTATTTGACTTATTTTGTGAAACACGATCTGAAAGAAGTGTTTAGGTGTAGACATTTGGACTCCTTTCCCCTACAGAGTGTGACAGACAAGCTGCACGGTGCTATCGGGAATCATGTAAAACTAACATCTTATTCAAGTATATGTGAAGAATTTCCTTGTTGAAGGTCTATACTGAAAAGTAAGTAGTAATGAAGAAATAGGTATCAATATAGAAAAGAAAAACCGAGTTTCGGAAGAATTAGTAACAATGAATACATCGTGTTTCACATTTTAATCCCATAGAGATTGCGCTAACAACTTTTCTAATAGATTTAGTACTTCTATTTCAATTAATCAGTCGAATACCAAATGCAACTGTTGACTTAGAAAATATTGTTGAAAATCACATGTTGCAAATGGGTAATGATGCTATTGCGCGAGTCAGTGTCAATGCAATTGATGTAAGATTATTTTTTACATTTTACCTTATTGTCATTTTTCTTTTAATCAGGATCTAAAACTATATGTTGAAACTATTGTTGATATTCATACAAAATTTGTTAAAATTGTACAAGAAGGTTTTAATAGTGAAAAAGCTTTTGTTGATATTGTTGACAAAGTAAACCGGTTCTTTGTTTCACTTCTTATTGTCATATGTGTGTTTCAGCTTTCGCAAAAATTTATTAATAATAATGCTATAACAGAAGCTGCTGGTAGTACAAAAAAATCAGCTGAATTTCTAGCTCGATATTGTGACGTCCTTTTACAAAAGAGGTTTTTCGAATTGTGAAATTTTGTATTGAAATATAATCGATTTAAATTAATAGAAACAGAGCCGAAGAAGAGACAAATATCGAATTGAAACTGAATCAAATTACGGTATTGATTTATAATGAATTATCCTGGATTTGACATTTTGTTTTTCTTCTTTTAGGCGATTTTCAATTATATTGACGATAAAGATGTATTCTTAAAAGTTTATAGCAAACTGTTGGCTAAACGCTTACTAGGTCAGTTAAGTGCATCAAACGATCATGAAGAATCTATAGTACTGTATTATTTAGTGAAACAAATCTATATTTAATATCTGACATTCCAGGAAGTATGCGGTATTGAATATACGTCAAAATTACAACGGATGTTGCAAGTTATTGGTGTTAGTAAAAATTTAACTGATCAATATCGAAGATATTATGAAAATAATAGAATTGATAATATTGGTATCATAAGACTAAAGTAAATAAAATTTTCTCAACTTATATTCGATTTGATTGCGTTTTATTTTAGTTGATTTATCTGTAATGATTCTCAGTACTAATTCATGGCCATTTTCTGCGCTAGGAGATTTTGTTTTACCACTTGAAGTAATGTTTAATCGTTTGCTTATTAATATCTATTAAATTTTTCTCTTAGCTTGAAACAATATTTGATAGTTTTACTAAATTTTATAATCAACAATAGAATGGTCGCAAGTTGACATGGCTTTATTATCATTCAAATGGAGATTTATAAACATTGTATACAAAACCAAAATATATTTTACATGTATGTGTATTATTTAACTTCATAGAATGAATTTTGACTCTGTTGTTTTGAAAATATCGAAGGTATCAACATATCAAATGGCAATTTTACTTTTGTTCAATAAATGTTCACGGTGGACAGTTGAAACAATCCAAGACGAAACACAACTTAAAACCGATTTATTCTTGCCAATTCTTTGTAGTTTATTGAAAAGTAAATTAATCACATGTTCAGAAATTAGTCATGATAAACTTAACGAAGACTTGAATGAAACTAATATTAAAATGAATTATCATATTCAAATAGCTGATGATTTTAAAAGGTTAGTATGTATTGTTCATTATGTTTTTTTCAATTTTAAGAAGAAATTATAATGAAGCATAAGTGAGAATCTATGAGTTATATCGATTGAAGAAAAAATTTTTGATGATTGTTGAAAGACAAATCAGCTGATAGAATAAAATGAAAATGAAAGAAAAATAATAGAATCTAGTTTTAGGTGGATAGCATGTTAAAATTTAATAAAAGAATAATGAACATTGAAGTAAAACTGTTTTCTACCTAAAGTTGAAATGAATTAGAAGAATGTTCATTTAAAATTATGATTTGAATTCAATTAGTTTGACATCAATCATGTACTAATGCAAGAAGTTCGTCAACAATTAAGTTCACGTTTTAAACCTAAAATATCAGCGATTGAAGTAAATTTTTATTTTGATTCAAATTAAAATTTTTGTTTGTTTCTTGTCTTTATTAAAATGTATTCATGTTTTAATTGAAAAAGAATATCTTGAGTGTCATTCGAATGAAGACGATTTGTTACATTAGTTGGCTTAAGACAAAATAATCAAGTGATTGATACAAGCAAGAAACATGTCAAAAATTTTAGCTTTGATCCATTATTTGTGGCATAAAAAAAAATGAAAGTTTTGCCGTCATTCAAGGAAATGTTCGTTTTTTTATGTTTATTTTCACATTTCTTTCGGCTGTGCTGACTTAAAACAGCCTAGAAATCTGTTTACAAACATGAAACATTATTAAATGAGAAAATCAAGCATGTAGTTGAAAGCACTGCAGCATATTTTTTGAAAAAATGAAGGATAAATTAATGTTATGACTCAAACAAAAAGTATTTCAAAATGTATATGACTGATCGACATGTATATCGTTATTTTAGCAAAACAAAAACATCCTGAAATAAATATGCAATAATTCAAACAAATTGGTATACTTTGAAATAATCTTCAATGATATTTTGTAATTTAATAATATCGGATAAATCTGTTTTTGAAATGCAGAATCAACCTTTTGGTCTTCTAAAGAAAGTTAATTAAAAGTAAAATAATCAATTTTTTGTACTTCCTTTAGTTTATGAATAACTTATTCATATTATTATATTTTTGAAACATTCGATAAAATATGTTGTTGAATGTTGAATTGATGTAGTATGATATAAATCACATGTTTAGGAAAAAAGCGTGCAAATGAAATAGGATTAGTGGAAATGCTATTCTAACTGCTTTTCGTTTCTGTATGATTGATCATAGTTCAAATCAGGTCTCTTAGTTGCAGTTCATGACTATTTTGTAAACAGTCAACAACTTCATGAAATTCAGTTGTGTTGAGTCACATATTAACAATCAATAAATCTCGGTAATTTTTGTTCACAAACAGTAACTGGAGCTTGATTTTAACTACAGAGGTTTTAAACAATTTTCTGAAGCTTCACAATATGAATTTGTTAACATCCATTTTTTTTTAATTATCACATTAGATTCTCTATGCTTGTGCTATGTCAGTATAGATTCGTATAATCCTTTGTAATGCAAAGAACTGTCCAATAGTTAGAGAAGGTTCATAGTAGATTATGAAAATGCTTTGGAAAGTGAATAGCGCATCTGCAAGTTTGCATAAAAAGATGATTGTTTCGTACACTTTAAAAAAAGGTTTATTACCGAACCTGTATCTAAGGGAAGAACCTTTGAGGTTTCCTACTGATCTACTGAACCTAAAATCGTTTAGTAGATTACAGCCTAATCTTTTTTAGGTTCCGTAAACAGGTATGGAACCTCAAACTTTCTTCTCTTGAATACAGATTCGGTAATAAACCTATTTTTTTTACAATGTAGACTCATACACGTTGTAAGCCAGCGCTAAACAATATATGAGAGTGTGAATGCGGGTTTATCTTCTCTCCGTACCCGTCGCTTTTTACTTTTTGAGCAGAAAAATGGATGAAAATTTCAATAACTCGAAAAGGTGCCATTTATTTGAGTTAGTTGACTCGTTGTTTGTTTTCTTCACTTAAAAAGGGTGTGAATGTGACACATCTTATCGTTAACAACCACGCTCACAGATGCACACCCTCAAATGAATACCCGATCATATCTTGCTGTTGAGATCAGATAAGATTCCTCTACGATTTTAGGAAGAAATCATTCAATGCAATGTAAAATAAAGGTATGCCAGGTTGGGCTACCAGAAGTTAAGAGTTTACTAGATCGTATGTCTGATGTTGTAAGATCAGATAAAAATCGTCGTTGTGAAGATCTTGTATCTAGTCGTAATAGAAGCTTCCTGAAAGATCTTGAGGATGTGGACTTGATTGCGCAGTGAAAGATTTGTGTCTTCTCATTTGCAAACATAAAATCGAAATTCAGAATCTGTTAAATTCAGTTTCAGTTGCTTTTAAATTTAATTTATTCAAATTTAAAATAATCTTAGGTTTCAAATTTTCGATTTTCAAATTTCAAAAAAATTACTGTCAACAATTTTAATACGACTTATATTTTCATTTATATTTTTAAACTTGTTGAAATTTATAGAGTTCGCTAAAGATTGAGTTGCATTACTTCAATTTAACTAGCTGTAATTCGTAGAGAGCGCTAAACTACAATAGTGCTTCTTTTCTTATTAATTACTGTAATTTATATAGTTCACCAAACATAATTGTTACTATGAAATGGCATGAACTTTTTTTGATTTTGAACAGACCATATCATTATGATCATAGAATGAAATCAAACGTTGAATGGATAGAACTGGTTGAGATGCAAAAGCATTTATACATAACAATCAAAAATACAAAAATGATGCTCTAAATAAGACGGCTTAGAAATATAGATATTGATGAGCGTCTTCTCTTGACGATCATAGCTCGATCCGTCCACACCATATTCGGAACAAATATCGATTATCACAACAAATTATGATACAATCTTCTTCAGTCTCACTTTGTCTTTCACTAAAATCGTTCTTAGTTCAGCCATAATCGATGACCCTTGCTCGTGCATTATGAGTGTTAGTTTCTCAATAACAAAAGAAAAATAAACCAGCTAGTACATTCAATTTTTGACTTCTATTAAAATTCTTCGTAGCTAGATCCAAACGAAAATCTTAATATCAAATTTAAATCGAACGAAATTTTAAATAATTTTAATTTTCTTAAAATTTATATTCTCTATGTTCGCAAATGAGAAATAGCCCCATATATCCTCTCAATGTACTTGCTTAATATACCCACTTCATTTATTTCCTTAATTCATCTCCTGAAACTAACTCCTTAGTCTACAGAATGGACTAAAAGTCAGTTAACTGAAAAAAAATTGAATATCTCAATTACGGCTCTAGCAAACGAGCTGATTCTTTTTATCAATGATAGAGGAATGTTCAAGCATTATACTCATAAAGAGATATCTAGGAGTCACTGCACGAAAGATACTGCCAATATGCGGACTACGTGCTCAATCGATCTTACCGGTTTCGATGAAATTTTGCTTATATATGGCTCCAAATGAGATATGAGACGCCAAAAATTTCAGCTTCTAAAACCGTTCTCTTCTGGAGATATTGCAATCACAATAGAGGCACCCTCAGATAAAAAATGACAATAATCAATGTAGTACCTCTACATTGTATATTTCGCCATTATTCAACAATAATGTTTTTAGCCTTGGGATTTTGTGGATATATATTACCGTGGGTACCCTACAAACTGGCATACTCAAAATCAGTTGTTGAAGTGTTAAGCAATGTAGAGGTATTTTATAGGCCCAAGATATACCTTCAATCTTGTGATCAATATTTCTATCGTATATGAGCGACTTATAAGCTGCGACTTTAGAACTAAATACTATTGTCCCTCAACTATTCGTAACAATTTTTAAAACCTTGGGTATTTGATTTTGACTTGAACAAAAATCTTTTCTATTATATAGAAAGGCTAATTTGGGTAAAATTGGGATTCGCTTCTAGAAAAGCTGCTCAGTTGAGATCATCAGATTGTGCTCAATTTAAGTTATGTTATATAGGAAAGTCTTGTAAGAATTTTGACGCAAGTTGTTTTAAAAGACATTGCTCTGTTATCGAGATATTTAAATTTTTCTAACAATGGAAGGTCGGGAACTGATGAGCCTTAAGATTGACCTCGTTCGGGTGAAATGATCATTCTCATCGAGAAACTAACGTATTAAAAATATGAGCTGCTAATGGGATACCTAAAGAAAGTTATTTAAATTTCAAGGTATGTAAAATTCACGCATAAAAATGAATCAGGAAAGGTTTTCTCCACTATTATAAGGACAAAACATGGTGTTGCTCGGGCCATATGAAAGAGGACTCGTCCAAACCCTTAATCGGCCCGAACAACAGTATGTTTTGTCCTTATAATAGGGGAGAAAACCTTTCCTGATTCATTTTTATACGTGTATTTTACATACCTTGAAATTTAAACAACTTGCTTTAGGTACGTCATTAGCAGCTCATATTTTAAATACATTAGTTTCTCGATGAGAGTGACCATTTCACCCGAACAAGGTCAATCTTAAGGCTCATCAGTTCCCGATCTTCCATTGTTAGATGTGGGCGCCTCTATTGTAATTTCAATATCTCGATATGGGAAAATTTTTAGAAGAAAAAATTGTAGCCGTTTTCACATCTCATCTAGGAGGGCTACATACAGGGAAAGTTTCATTGAGATCGGTGATACCAATTGAGCACAATTGGCCATCCCTATCATGCATTGGCTTCTAGACAGATCCTTTGTTAAGTATATTGGTTTTTATCCTATCTNTCGATCATATGATGTTAATCAGAAGCTACCGATCGAGAGGTGACTAAAAGTAGCAAAAATAAAAAAGCAATACTCTAGCCTTTCTCTTTCATTAATCTTTACTTTTTATAAGAAATCTCGAAGGTTAGTAGAATAAAAAACCAAGAAACTATTTATTTTTGAATAACGGGTGTGAATGGGTCTCAACAGAATCAGAAGATACGCACATCCACATTTGCACTCCATAGTCATACTCACAACCACCATCAAACCTATACGTAGACTCACAACCAGATCCGAGCTGTTTTCTTTATTTCCTTTATCATTGCTGCAAACGATGACTGGTGATGAGGCCATTTTCAATCCGAAAGGATGTCGGTATAGGTGTTGGGTAGTCTGGGTGTGGATGTTGGTGGAATGAATAGAAGGCCCTACGCACCCACATTCATACCTTTCACATCTCTACCCACACCATCGGGAAAACTTTAGTAAAGACATCGGTAAAAGTTTTCGTAAATTAATAGTTTAATTATATAATAGATCATTTGATCGATTCAAATATATGAAACTTACTCAAATACAGCAACTATTTCAAGAATATCTAGACATTTTTTATCGATCGTCATATCAAAATAAGTTTGATATTATTTAAAATGGCGCACATCTCGATACATACCGGTATCAGATTAGGAAAATTGAATTCACGCCAAAAAAGACCTTAAAAACATACGAAATCTCTTCAAAAAGTTATAGAATATAGTCTACTTGATGATGAGATATATTCTAAATGAAGACAAAACACACGAAGTTTTATTAAATGAGTCTATTGTAAAATTATCGTTAATTGATCTTTAACATAAATAGTGAGATGAAATATGAGAAATAAGAGATATATTCAAAATTATTAAAAAAATAAAGAATAGCAATAAGATATTAAGTACATCTATTATTTTGATGATTGAACAACGAGAATGCTCTTTTCAATGATGTGTCGAAATTTAAATTTACTTTTAATTTTTGATACCAAAGTGTTTGCTTTTTTCTGCAAAGTTGCTGTTATCTGACATAGTTTGAACAAGTAATCCCAAATAATCAAGCTGTGGATGGTTTCTGAAAATAATATCTAATGCCCTTGTAGACGGTTCAAATATTATAGAGTGTTTATGTTTTCAAATCATTTTAATTAACATGTGCAGAATGTATACTAAATATTTTATCAAAACTAATATAATTATATATAGGGTTTTTGATATTCTACATTCTTAAGTGGCTGTAGGTTCACTTCACCCACACTCACAGTTTTGTTTCTGACTATGTATAGATGTTCGAAGTTCTTGTCAACAAAATGTCAACCTTTTTGTCTATCATGCTCGAGACATAGTTGAAAAATTCAATGCTAAAAACATAGTCAGGCTATTCTCACCTGACGCAGTAACACAGGCAGAATATGTTGATATTCGTGACTGATATGTCGAAGTATAATAAACATAATACGAAAAAGTTTTTGACAATTTTGCCATAAAGACCCAGACAGTTGAGAGAAACGTCATAAACTATGCAAAATGTGTTCATCTTAGATAGTGTCCATATGTGAACTGCGTATATGCTCAGAGATCTTAGTAGTTTAGAAAGAAAACACGCATGAGTAATCAATTGTAAAAATTTATTGACTACATGACTGACTTTCGATGGATATTCTACTCATACAAGTATCAATGCTATCAACGAAGATGTTTGTTTGAACAATAAGATCTTCGATTTTTGTACTTCCTGTCCAAGTTGTCTTTTTTTTCATAGTCATTGTTCGATTTTTGAAATGTGCATTGCCATTGACAAGAACAATAATTTTCAGTTAAGTCAACATGTAATTTCGTTTTCAGGTAACAAAGAATAAAAGTATGGCGAATGTGTTTTTCTTCTACGAAGCTTCTCGTCGTAAATCTAACTGTACTAACAAATACTGTTTGATACAATATAAATTCATCATATTGAAGCATTTTCTGAATTTTTCAATATTTCAAGTGTTCGATTTTTTTGTAATCGTTTGAGTTGTACAACATTGTGAACTGTTTGAACGGTAGCTGTCACAATTAAAGTTTTGCATTTAAATGATCGATGATATAGATGTTGGCAGGTATGAAGATTTCTGTCGTCTACATCCACATCTCTACAATTCATCAGTTTCTAGAAATGCTACACACATTTAACCGAGCTGTCAATGTAAATGTTAACCAGAACAACTTATTTTTTCTTGACGCGATTCTCAATAGCTCTTTTGTTATTTTCCCAATGAGAACTTATTCCTTGTAACACAAAGAAAGGTAATCATCGTATGCAAAAAGAACTATGGATGTTTGTCTCGTCGAAACTATGCATGATAGTGGATAGATTATGAGTAAAAAGAATATATTTGCAAAACATTGATTTTTACATGCAATTGATGAGATAACTAACCCCAATGTAATTCACCATTGTAGCTCATATTGAGTCCACAAAGAGATCTTCGTAAGACTAGAAACCCTAAAAAAGTATCTTGTGTTGATGAACCTTTGGAGTTGAGTTGTAATCGTTTTATTAAATTTTCAAGTAAATTCATCATTTAAAAAAAAAATTCTCATCATTTTGTTTAGCACAGTAGATACTATGAATTAATAACTGCAAAATCATTGTCATCAATCAAATTAATAAAAAATAAAGTAAAAGATATTCAACGAAGAAAAATATATTTGTGTTCTTTGTTGTTTTTTTTTTCTCATTATCAATTTGCTAAGTGATAGAAAATGATGACATTTCAAATATTTCGCCATGCATTCACAAAAACTATATACAGTAAAACCTTTCTACTGTGAACACCATCGGAACCATTAAAAAATGTTCACTTTAGAGAGTTGAAGCATGGTTTACTATGAAATGAAGAAAATCTTCTAGTAAATATACTTCTATATTAGTCATAGATATAAAGACCTATCTATCTATTCTCTTGTGCATCTAAATGGTTTGAATTGAAAGACTTTTCAAGTACAACACAAAATTTTCTGTACCTTGTTGTACAAATCATTCGTACACTTGATCATGTAGATTTTATGCATTAATTCTTTTTAATTTATTTCATAATCATGTAAAAATTTTATTTTATGTTCAGTGAGATATTATATTTTTTATTCTATGTATGTTGTGATACACCCTTACTATCTTTATTATCATGAAGTAATAGTATTTTGTTTCCTGCTAACCAAGCTCGTGTCGTAATGTTACACTTTACTTTACACATACAGCAGTCGAATCATACATAAAAGTTTATTTACTTAGAGTGCATACGGAACAGGTGACAGAAAAGACAAAGAGGTTTTAAGAGCAATGGAAACCACAAAAATGTGTTCACTGTCTAGAGTAAGCAGACGTTCACTTTAGAAAGTTGTTCACTAGTAAAGCTTTTCTATCGTAAATAACGGTCAAAAAGGCAATAAACACATAATCAGTGATGAATCTCTGAAAATTATTTATATGAATGAGATAAACGTGAAAAAAAAAGTATATTTTGTACATTTTTGGATTGATCTGATAATCTCTTCACTCACATTCAACTTCATCATCTCAGGTTTTCTTCTTTTTGCAACATGTCACGCCACTTACTTTCAAATATTGACGATACTCTTATGCTAATGTATAAAATCATGGGAGCTAATACATAAAAAAGAACTCCGATGATAACGAAACAATATTTTTTTTCGTTCTATTGTCGAACGATAAAATACAAAACCTTTCTATGATTAAGTTCACTCCTGACTGTCACAACAGGCAAAAGAATTAGTTTTGTCAAAATATAATCTAATGACACTATGTTTATTGTTGATAGTGCTTGCCCTTATATTCAACAATGCAACTGGCAAACGTTCAAATTGCCCAGATCGACAATGGATAGAACAGTCTCTCAAAAAAAGTTCATGTTCCAGGCGCAACAATCGTTGTAGCGAATGTCATTTACATATTCTATGAACAAGCGTTTAATTATCAATCTAAATCACTGCTACAATCAATGGACATTGACAAATTCATTTTCTCTCGCTTGCTTCGATCTCGAAAACATTCATTGCTGTTGCTGTTATGCAGGTTGTTAAGCAAGAACTTGTCGGTCTTGATACCGACATTAACCAATACTTATCATAACTTCAAAAACGTATCTTCCATCCGTAATATTCTTTGCATTCGCAATCACTTTACGCAAGTTAGAGAAAATCTCGATAACATATTGAGTGAATAATAGCTGGTTTTGAGAAGAAAGAGTATTCCTGTCTTTCAACTATCTTGCAGTATGAAGTACTGCTTAGCGCCAGTTCTCGATATCTTCCCTCCAATGATAACTAGTTGCAGCTATGAACAGAAGGAAGTATTCTACTCAATGACAGACTTTTCATCGAACAGTTTTTTGCCTTTTAGGATAGATTTTCAACGCAAATTACTTTTTTTCAATATTTATGTATTAAATGACGTCGAAAAAATGATATTTGTAAAAATAATGAATTTATCAAAAATGTTACCTAAGAAATTCTAAAGTATCAAAGAGGTCGCTCGAAGTTTTTGTTCAAACAAACATTGCTATTGGAGTACAAAAAGACAACTTCCTCGGAATGAATAAATCGTTTCTATTCACTCATTCACTTATTGATATAAACAAATAAAGATGGTTTGTGATAACTGTATGTATCTTTTTGTTATTATTTATTTCAATAATTAAATTAAAACAGTAAAAAAAAATATATTTAAGGTCAAAAGAAAGTCGGTCGTGTTGCAACACAAGACGTATGGAAAAGTATGTTAAATGTCCTTCATTACTTTTTTTTTTAATATATATCTTTATGCTCTTTTTTAGGTGGTTCACGCAATACAGTTGGTATGAATAATATTATTTCGTAATTCTAAAACAATAATTTAATTTTCCTAGAAAGTGGTGGTAAAAAATTAAATGAAAATAAATTATTAACTGGTAAAAATTCTCGGTTTGTATATAAATCTTTATTCAATGATTTAATTTATTATTATTCTTATAGATATAGTCCATACACAACTAAATTTAATAAATGTAAAATTTGTAAATCAACAATTCATCAACCTGGTAGTACTTATTGTCAAGGTTTGTATTTATAAATGAAATCAATATTTTACAAACAAAACTACATATTTTATTAGGTTGTGCTTATAAATTAGGTATATGTGCAATGTGTGGTATCAAAATTCTACAAACAAAAAATTATCGTCAATCATCTGTTTAAATACATTTTTTCTTTGTTTCTAGAAAAAAATTAATTTTTGTTTTTGATCTCAATTGTTTATAATAAATATATCTTTGTAAATATTTTAGATAAGTATGTCGGATGAGATAGCAAAAGCTCAAACGGCCAAACCAACTGAAGATACAATCTTTGGTAAAATTGCACGTAAAGAAATTAAAGTTGATTTAATTCATGATGATGATCAGGTTCTTTTTTTTTCAAACAAAAAATCTAAAACAAAATTTGAATAATTTTTATTCTTAGTGTGTTGCATTTCATGATTTAAATAAACAAGCACCAACACATTTTTTAGTTATACCAAAAGAACCTATTACACAATTATCATCATGTACACAATCACATGAACAAGTAGATTAAATTATTTTGAAGTTTTCGATTGCTCTTTCTTTTTTTTTTTAAGTTACTTGGTCATTTATTAATTGTTGCTGCTCAAGTTGCTAAAAAAGTAGGTCTTAATGAAGATGGATATCGTTTAGTTATTAACAATGGACGAAATGGTGGTCAAAGTGTTTATCATCTTCATATACATGTACTTGGTGGACGACAACTCGATTGGCCACCTGGCTAGTTTCAGTTTTATTTCTTCAAAAAAAAAAAAAATAAAACATATTTTATTCGTAGTTGTGTTAGTTTCTTTTGTTTATCATTGAATCAAGCATTAAAAATAAACTGTTCTTTTCTTTTTCTTAGATTTTCACAAAATAAAAACCCTATAAAGATTTTTGCAGTGATTCTCGGTGGGCTTTCATTCTATATCCTTAATTTCTTTTTTTTGTTTGAGGGACAAATACACTTATCGACCCCCCGTTATGTATTGACCTAACTCAACTATATTAGCCTCTGAGGAGTTCATTAAAAGTATTCCCAAGGATTCCAGATCAATAGTTTAAGAGACAACGTGTATTTGCCCCGCTTGAGACAAGCCTCACAAAGCATCTCAATAGCTGAGGGTGAAGGCAAAATCTTGATACAGCCACCAAAGGGCATCTCCATAGCTGAGGGTGCCATGAAATATTGTTTTATGGCACTCTCAGCTATGGAGATGCCCTTTAAATGTGGTTCACGATTTCGTGGCACCCTCAGCTATTGAGATGCTCTTTGGCGGCTGTATGAAGATTTTGCCTTCACCCTCAGCTATGGAGATGCTTTCTAAGACTTGTATCAAGCGGGACAAATACACGCTATCTCTTAAACTACTGGTCTGGGGCCCTTGAGAATACTTTTAATGAACTCCTCAGAGGCTAATATAGTCGAGTTAGGTCAATACATAACGGGGGGTCGATAAGTGTATTTGTCCCTGTTCTATGAATTTGATGGACTTTAAAATTGTTTATCTTGTATAATATCAAGCAAAAAGATGTTCGAAGTTCTTCGCTTTCAATTGCTAAAAATCGTAAGCGACTAATTAGTTATTACGATTGTCAAGTAGTCTATACTCTCACATCTCTTTCATTCTCAGCTAAAAAAATACATGTGTATGCTTGTTTTGTTCAATGGATAAATGAAACATGATATTTCGTCTCCTATTTATATCAGAGATCATCGGCAGTTAGATACAAGTCTCTTGTTTTTACTTTTATTTTTTATACGTATAATACATTATATTTATACATGAACTTATAACTTGGTTTGAAAATAAGCTTGTATATTAAAATCAATACCATAGAAACAATACAAAATAGATGTCTTATTACCATACTTACAACTATTGATGGATTCTTATTATTTTGTAGTTATTATACTAGATATATCTATGATTACTTATTGAGTTATAAAAGCTTCTTTTCAATGATGCATTGATTTACCTAATGTAGATCATAATGCTTTACATATAGACTATTTTTAATAAATGATTTCAAGCACTTCAATAATGTATTATCTTTTATTTCAATATTTTCCGATACATTGTAAATATTAATTAGATCACTATCACAGAAAGACATAAGTGAGCTACACAAAAACAAACTTTCTATATATATTGTATTATATCCATCCAATAGGATAACCTCTTGCTAAGTTTTCCATTTTTAACCAATCATATAATGGTTGAAAATAATCTAACATAGCTTTTGATTCTAATTTATTTTCTCCTGTTAGACTTTTCAAGATTTCTGACCATGGTTTTGAATTTCCCATAGATAACATTTCTTTAAATTTTTCTCCAACATGTTTATTTCCATATATATCACACATATGAAAGCGTTTTGTAACACCTTGTAATCGACACATACCATGATAAAATTGAAATTGAAGAACATGAGCAATAAAATATCTTAAATAAGGAACATTTGATGGTATATGATATTTTGCACCTGCATCAAAATTAATTTTATCATTTCGAGATATAGGTGGCATTATACCACCATGTTGAATACGTAATGACCACCATTTAGAATTTAATTCATGTTTACGATCAATTTCATCCCGAAATAGTAAGAAACGATATTTATCCATCACATAACTAAATGGTAGAAAAGCAATTTTTTGTAAAGCTATACGTAATAGAAAATTAATTTCATAATGAGAATTCACATCTTCTTCATCAAGAAAACCCAATTTTATTAAATGTGCAGGTGAAACTAATAGAATATAAAACATAAGAAAAAATTCATGTGAACAAAATGATAAAGAAAACTTACTTGCAAATATACCAATTGTATCTCCAATAGCTTCATGAAAACCTGAATTAGCACCACTTCGATAAACATATGGTTGGTTTTCTTTATAAGCCATATAATATTCTATATGACCCATTTCATGATGAATTGTATAAAAATAATTATCATTAATTTCAGTACAAATTTTTACACGATAATCATCATGATATCGAAAATCTGTTGCAGATGCTTGACAAACAGCATCACGATCACTCGGTTTTTCAAACATACTACGAGCCCAAAATTTTGGTGTCATTGGATAAAGACCAATTGATGTAAAAAATGATTCAGCTGTTGTATATAATTGATGAATAGAAAATCGTTTTTCAATTAATACTTTTGTCATATTAATAAGTGGAGCATTAGGATAAGGAATAATATCATCTAAAAGATCATGCCATGTTTGAGCCCACATATTTCCTATCAAGATTTCATAATTGAATTATGGCACATGAATAGTAGAAAAGAAAGAATAGAACTTTACCAAGAATATGAGCTGGAATAGGTCCATTACAATCAAAACGATTTTGATACTTTGAACATAAACGACCTCGAACATATGCATGTAATTGTTCATATAATGGCATGATATCTTTTAATATTTCATCAATAACACCTTCAAATTCGGTGACACTCCCCATTTCATACTCTGCAATCCATTTTTCCTGATAAAAATAAATAAATAAAATAATAAATGAATAACTATTATAAGAACAACTTTTGTAAAACACGATTTAAAAGGAGTATTGAACTGTAGAGATAAATATGTAGAGCTTTCTTCGACAGAAAGTGGTAGACGCTTTGTAATAAAGGATAAAAGACCGTATGTGAATAACGTCTTGTTATAATACGTACCCTACTTTCTGATTGCATTTCTGAAGGATTAAGTATGGCAATAGTGAATAAATATGCTATAAAATGAATAGAATAAAACAATCTCCGTAAGATTAGCAACAATAGTTACACCTTGTTTTACATTTCGGTCCCACAGGAATTGTTCTGAGGCTTTTCTCGTTGTATTTCTATCAGAATTGTGAATCTTGACCGCTGCTTGGGAAACTAGCAGAACATTCAGCTAGCCAGTAGTGTATGTTAAACAGTACTGATATATTCAAAAAACACTGCGATAAATCTAGTGTCTCTTGCATGAGAAATATTTCTTTCTAATTTATCTCTCTGTTTTATACAAGAATTTGTCATTAGACTATCTTCATCAAATTTAATTAAATATATGACTGAAATTAGAATGATACATAAATAAAACTATGAAATTTATCTGGGAATGTTTCTTAGTGTGGAAGTGATTTTGAGTTCGGACTAATAGCTCATTCATGCTAATATGCTGTGATTTCTATCAGAATTGTCGTGGTTCACCTCAAGAATATCATGAAAACTTAGTTTAGAATTTCTACTTGAAACTTTGCATAGAGATAGATTTTAATGAGAATAATTTATTAGGAAAATTTTAGAACTTTTCATTGCTTTTACTCCAACATCGGTCTATGATAAAGGTATGTTTTTCAATCCACTTATGTAAAATGATAAACTTCGATGTTCTTATTTTAGAGAATACATCATAGAAAAATCTGAAACTTTCACAATAAACTAGTCTTATTAAGGTTTGTCTCTTTCGAAAAATATTAAACATGATCTATTCGAATCGAAACACTTACAGATAGATCATGATAACCATTTTCTTTAACATTTTTATTCAATAAGTCAACAAATGGTAAATAAACTGGGCGAACTTTATTTCCACATCCATCATGCCAACCTTTCCATGCCCATAATAAACGATCATAATTTTTTTCAATTTGAATTACCTGTTCAAGATATGGTGAAAGTCTATAACCTTTTTTTTTATCATTTAATTCACAAACTTCTGTTGTAGCATAAATATCTTCTAATTGACCATGTAATGTTGAAGTTTTCTTTACATCATCATCATTATTACTAACTGTTCCTGTTGCTAAACGACCAAATATACGTTTTAAATCATCCTTTTTCGAATATTTCATATATTCATTAAATTCTTTAGCTAACGATAATGCTAAACGACTAAATGGTGTTTGAATAAGATTTTGCTTAGTTATTGCTTTTTGATTTTCTTCAGTTATATTTGTTTCATAATTCCATTCGAGAAGAGCACCTACCTAAATAGTATTTAAATAATAAAATTAATGAAACTGTATTGCTTATCTTACTTGATTATATCGTTGTTCTATTCGAACACACCATTTTAACCATTTTATAGCCACAATTTCATCTGAATAATCATTAATTTCTGGCATATTTTTCATATCTTGTTCATTTAATTTATTCCATAATTCAATATCAACATGATCATTAGGATCAACTTCAGTTTCATAATTTTCTGATTCTTTAAAATTATTATTGCTATTTGCTCTATTATGATTAATTGATGTTTGTCCTTCAAATTCATCTGTAAATTGTTTTTTTAATATATCAATAATTCTTTTCAATTGTATTGTATTATAACGAGTTTGTTTTCGATTTGATATTGAGAATTGAAATGAAGAAATAAATAAAAGAAGAATAATACAATTCTTCATATTTTTTTTTTCAATATCTAAAAAAGATAATTTTTCAAAGAATTATTATTGTTTTTTTTTTTGTACCGTTCCAAAGATACAAGTTTTTTTTATTGTATACAATCCTATAGAATGGAGAGAAACAAAAAAAAAGTATCAAAATATATATGATATATATCAACCAATGTACTGTTTTTGCTTTTTACCTAACAGTAAACCAACTGTTATGTGGTGTTTTGTTTTGGTAGCTACTACTTGTTATTGATGAGCTTAAAATGAAATAAGTTTTACCATACGTAACTTCTCCATCGTCTATTGCATATCGATGTATATAATCATTATTTGTATGCAAGCGGTCGTATTCGACTTTTCATTATTATTTTCGTCTTATTTATTGTGCAAAGGTACATATGTGAGGAGAAAGAAATTACCTCTTACCTTCTTTCAATCGATCTCCGCGATGTTCTTTTTTTCCTTTTGTTTCTGCGCTTTTATCTTTTTGTACATATATGTAAAAAGAATATTATTCACATGTATCACTGTCTATTGATCAGGTATATGCTACAAAATTAGACCAAGGCTATATATTAGGATTAATGATTGAAGTTATCTTTTTTGATATTATCATATTGGTCATGTTTTTCATACAAAAAAAAAAAAGGATTTTGTTTAATATTTTTGTTGTCATCGTTATTATGATTATGCTTTATATACATCGATACTGTTACGTATATATATATTTGCAGGTTGATCTTATATGACGATTATACTTATTATTACCCTTAATATGATTCACTTGTTGAAAATGAAATAGCAATGATTAATATAATTTTCACAAAAGTTATCAAAACTATCCATTTTTTCGATTTCGAAGAAAGTATTTAAATTGAAAAATATCCATTTAAAATCATTGTCTGTTTTCTAGTCAACACAAATCTGTTTGATAAAACTTTAACTATACCTGAAGTATGTGAATATCCTTTCAATAATTTGTTGATTATTTTCAAAAGATAAAAAGATTCAATTGATTATCTTTATTTTAATGAACAAAAAAAAACAAAGAAAAAGAAATAGGATATATAGTTATATTTTGTGTACTAAATTTATTATTTTTTCATTGGATACACAAAAATGCATAATTAAAAAAAGAAAAGAAGGTCTGTTTTGTAATATAAATCGTCTTGATGATAAATATTCCTTTGTTTAAGACTAAATTAAAAGAAAATAATTATTAATAATAAAATAAATAATAAACAAAATGTATGTGAAACAAAAAAAAAAAAAAATGACATGCAATGTGACATTCTAAATATTAGAACAAGACAAACTTACTCGAAAAAATCCATTAAACTATATTATATTTATTTACAATAGACCTTTTTAAATATTATATTTTATTTATACTAACCTGTTTTTCCATTTGCATTTGTTGAATTGTTTTAGTTGTTGATGTTGCAGGAAAAAATGAGTCTCGTGTTGTTTTTGCTGCTGCTGCTGCTGTTGTTGATGATGGTGCTAAACTTCCAAAAATATCAAGACCAGCCAATGGATTGGTTACTGATGGTGGAGCAACCGGTGAAATAGGTGAAGGACTTAATAAATTTGTTTGTGATTGTTGTGGAGACGACATTGTTGTAAAAGCCATTGGTGGAGGTTGATTGAATGTTGGAGCAGCATTTAAAATATTCGGTTGTGTTGGTTGAGAATAAAAATTATTATATGGATTAACTGGTGGTGGAGCACGAACTGGCGTAGGATTAGAAAATACATCAAATAATGCATTACTAGATCCAGTAGAAACTGGTGGTTGAGTTACTGTTGACATTACACTGAATATATCTTCCAAAGCCTAAATATTAAAAAAAATAATACCTATGAATAAGTACAATAGGCATGTGAATTCTTTCTTTTTCATTTACTACATTCAACATTGAATATGATAAGATAAAATAATGTAAAAATAAAAAAGAAAACGAAAAGAAATTCTTAATTCTAATTAGATTTCAAAAATCTTACATCAACTGGTTTTGATTCTTGCTGTTGTGTAACCATTGAAGGTGGTTCATTTAAATTAAATATATCATCAGATATTGATTGTGTTGTTTGCGTAACCTGTGGAGTAGAAGTGTCTCCCCAAATATCACCATCAAGAAGATTTGACTACAAAAAAAAAACAAAATACGAAATTTCTTTCAATCATAAGAATACTTACTGTTACATTTACAGGAGTAGGTGTTGTTGTTGTTGATGATGGTGGTGGTAGTACTGGAGCAGAAAAAATATCTGGTTGTGGCGTAGAAACAGGAACTGTTTGTGTTGGTGGTGGCGGTGAATAAACAGGAACATTCTGTGGTGGTGCCTAAAAATATTCAATAAATTAGTTTAATCAATAAAAATTTCGAAAAATTGTTCTATACTTGTACTGGAGATGTAACAGGTGCAGTTGGTGTTGCTGTTACTGTTGATTCATTAAGTCCTTTAGCTTTTTCAGCATTTGTATATTGTTCAAAAGCCAATTCAAAAAGTTCTTTAAGAGCAAGTACAGTTACAGCAGCTGCTCGTTCAGTTTTAATAGCCCAAAATTGATGACGATCATCAGATGTATTATAAATATATCCAAATGCACGTGTATCACGTGGATCAATAACAACAAATGATATTCGTTCAATTTCATGAATAGCTATTTGTGCCTAAAATGTTACAAAAAAAAACAAAACAGATTTTAAATGAATAAAAGAAAAAAAAAGATTTTCTGTTTTTTTTTTTTTTCAATACTTTCGTGGCTTCATCAATAACTTTAACAGCACTCATAGTTAAATTTAATTGAATTTTTTGTTTATGTTCACCACGAGCACGTACAACAGCTTTTAATTTAAACATTGAATCGAGACAAACTTTTTCATCACGATCAATTGATAAATCTTCCATACCAATAAGTTTAGCTCTAAATGGAAATCCATCACCTTCAAATTTTTTTGCTCCTAAACCATTTGGTGCAGTTGCAAGTTTTTTTGCTTCATCTTCTTTTGTTGTTAGTGTTGCTCCTAGAGTGTTGGACATCTTTGTGTAACTTGTAATCGTTGCTAAATGAATAAAAAAAAAAAAAAAGACAACAAAAAAAATGTTAGATGGGTCACGTTAAATCAATATGATAAGAGCTTCTTTTTTTCGTTGTTTGATAACTATTTCTTATTCGCGTTTAAAGATATTTGAAAAGAAATAAAGATAAACATATAAACTAAAGGTACTGACTAGTAGGTGTAAGCAAAATGAGGCAACAAAAAGATAACTATATGCACGGCGTGTGTAGATAAATATTAAAGATGAAAATGATGTTTTTTTTTTTTTTCTTTTTTACAAATCGAGAAAATTTGTTGGAAATTTTCATTGTTTAGAATTGATATTCATATTACATAAGTCATATAGAAAAGTGAACAATAAGCAAACAGTACATATATACTAGAAAATTCAACAAAAATTTACATATTTCTTGTTAAATAATATTGTAGTATGTTAGTTAAAATTTTATCATATAGACTTTGGTTTAAAACAAATATTTGTAATAATAATTATCGTCTGAAAGATTTGAAAAAGATATTACAAAAGGTTTATTTTTGAATTAAATTCTATGCATCATATACACACATTAGTTTTCGTTGTATATTTATTGATAAACCATTTAAATAAGAGCGAATTTATTCGAAAAAAAAAATAAGAACTTTCTTCATAAATTATTCTTATGTTGATCTCTATAAATGGGTACATCACTCGTGCAGTACTCCTCCCAAGCAGACAAACTCTTTCAAAAACGCGTTTAAACGCATGAAAAAGTGTTTTAAAAATAAAAAAAGTGGACGTTTTTCGCTCACAATCGCGGTTCCCGACTGTGAGCGAAAAACACTCATTTTNGTGTGCACGATCAATCGAATAGTTTATTTGAGTAAAAAAAAAAGTAAATATGAGATTCGACGCAAGTTCTATGTGATCATAAAGTTTAACTCATTCGTGACGATATGAATATGGGTTTTTCATAATTCGTGAAAAGTTTCATTTCTTTATTTATAGCAAATGTAGTATTTCAACACAACTTTTATCGATGTTTCTCTTATCAATATGAACTATGAACATTTCTCTATCAACAGTAAAAAAATCAGCTGTTTTGGTAAAAGGATGGCATAAATATTCAATTTCTTCTATGATAAACAAGCTTTTGAACCACCCTATAGTGGGTTCCACCTGTGGAATCCATCGCCGCGAATGGGTTAAATATAAAATAATTGAGTACTGATTAATAATTTTTTTATCTCGCAATTCTAGTGTTCAGCTGACCTTTACAATTTTTGGTTTACAGCTATACGTAACTTATATTGTGACGTTAAATTAATTTATTTGAATTCTAAAGTCCATAGCCGCAGATGTTCACCTGAATATATACGCATAGAATAAAACTTCAAGGCATATATGATCATAAAAATATAAAAAATGCTTTCAACTGATTAAACAATATTCGTGTTTTTGCCTTATGACGAACATTTTAGGACGCCTTTGTAGAATATATATTTTTCAGAATAGATAATATATACCATAGTTTGTCATTCTTGTAAAAAGAAGAAAAAAAAACGAAATTCTAAACAATATGTATAAAAATACTGTTTGTAAAAATAATAATAAAAATAGATATAAAAAAGAATAGTAAACAAATATTGATATCAGCGATGGAACCAGACGGGTCCTATCTCTGATCTAAATCATACTAAACTTAATAAATCTTACAGGTTTATTTTTAAATTATGAAATTTTATTAAAACACACCTTCAATTTTCTCATAAGCCATGATAGATACATATAACTGAGATGATTGATGATATGAATAATCACAAACGAAATAATTCCATCCCGTATATGTCTAAATGGACATATAGAAAAACAAGAATAGATTTACAGAATAATGATCGATTCAATTATTATTCGAATAATCTCATCAAAAAAAACAAAAAGATTTCTTTTTTTTTTTTTTAAGAAGACTTTAGAACTTTATAAATTTTCTCTACTTACAAATCGAACTTGATGAGAAACGCATATTTACTTTTTTTTTTACTCAAATAAACTATTCGATTGATCGTGCACACATCATCATCATCTATTGATTAGATAAGATCTATCTGTTTCACGTTTCAAATTTCTTTATTTGATTTTTAATCAACAACAAACATTTATATATATATATATATATGTATACATCAATACGAAGAGAGAGAGAGAGAGAAGCAAAAAAAGAAAACGTATTCTTATGATCCTGAAGAAAATGTTTTGTTCTGTTTGCATTTATATCCAAATGTAAAACCACTTGTTGTTAAAGTTGTACATGGTGAAGTTCGACCCATTAATTGAAAATGTTCAAAAGTTGATGAATTATTTTGAATATTTGAATCTTCATGTTCATATGAACTTCGACGTCGAAAATAATGATGAATATGTCTTTTACATTTCATAAAAAAACGTTTTAATTCACGTCGAAATTTTGAATCAAATAGAATATAAATATAAAAATTTATTGCAAATGATATTTGATAAATTAAATGAAAATAATATTCTAATTGTCTTATTAATTTTGTTTGAAATTTTTCATCTCCATATAATAAACGCCATGTATGTATACATGCATATGGTGCACATATAATTAAATATGATGTTGAAACAGTTAATAATAATTTTGTCATTTTACGTGATGCATTACGACGTGTTATTTCACGTATTTTATTTAAATGCGAATGATTTTGAAATAAAAATTCATGTTCTGTTTGTTTCATACGTCTTAATGATATTAATATAATTGTATTCATTACAATAATTACAATATATGGTATAAGAAAAACTATAATACAATCAACAATATCCATAAATTCATTTATCCAACGTAGATGTTCTAATGAATAACAACGTCCATTAACAATTCCAATAAGAAATGGTAAATATGAATAAATTAAGCAAGCAATTAAGATTATTAATAATGCTAAACATCGAGAACGATACCATGAAAGCACATGAGAAACACGGAATGGTTTTACAACAGCAAATAAACGTTGAGCAGTAAATGATACTGTATAATAAGCACTAATAAAATTGCACACATATGTTAAATATAATGTTAATTGACAAATTATTGGTCGATGAAGAATATTTCTATAATTAGATAGCCATAAACAGAATAAAATAAATAAATATATTGTATCCGATATGGCCATATAAAATAAAAATGGATAAACAGACATATTCGAACCAACAGATACAATTGTTGTACGTAATGCTCTTTGACCAAAAACAATAATAACAAAACCATTACCAATACTTCCAATAATTACTAATAATAATAAATAAATATGATTAAAGAAAAAATTTAATGGACTTGAATAAGATGAAAATGTAGCTTGTTTTAAAGTAGTATTTAAACTACTTAATGTTGTATTTTCTATGTAAGACATTATTGAAATCTAAAATATGAAAAATTAATTATAAATATATTAAATAAACATTAAAGAAAAAAACTTTTTTTTTTTTCTTTATAAACTTTGTTTATCAAATAGATTTAAGATTATTTTGACATTCTTTTCTTTATTACATATATATATATATATATATCATAATAACATCGTTTTACCAAATGAAGTATTGTTTGATAGCTCATTTAATAACAATAGAAAATAAGATTTTATTATATCTTTTTCTTTTTTTTCCTTTCATATAGCCTACATCAAATATATGATCATTAACGTGAGAAAATAATGACGTGCTTGATTATTCTATTTCACTTACTTTTGTTTTTTCGTCCCATATATAATATCCGAGGTCATGGTAATTAACAATTCAAGAACAAGATTAAAACGAATAAATCCTTAATAACAAAACAATATACTATACTGATATGCAAATAATTAACTAATTTATTTGTTGTTTTAGAATTTTAGTAAATAAAATATATCATGACCTGAATAATAACAAAAAAAAAAATATATTACGAGACATAAATTTCAAATATTCGACTCAATAATGTGTTTCTAGGAACGAACTATTTCTAGTTCTATATAAAATAATTTAATTATGATACAAATAAATGTGATGAGAAAAAAAAATGCATCATCAAGTTTTCATAAAATGATTTTAAGAGAAATATTTCTATAGTTCACAAATAAAAAATTGTTTATTAAAAAAAACAAAAAAACTTTCTCTATTGCAAAACATTTATATTTCTCAAGGCGGTTATCTTTAACTTGAAGCTTGATAATATTAACAAGAAAAAGCAACAAAAAATAACTTGTGTAAATGTTATGAACAATTAGTCAGATTATGTTAGTATTACTGTTACTAAATATATTCTTTTATAGAGTAATCATAAATATAAGAGAATAATTAACAACCAACGCATTTGAAATCTAATTCTTATAATTATGCATAAAAATTACTGCGCATATCTATTGTTATTTCATGCTTCGAACGAAAATTATAAAATTGAAGAAGTTACAAACATTTATGAGAAAATTTTTTATAGAATTATCATAAAAAACTTTCAAAATATTTTACCTATTGAGTTGAATAATAAAAAATCATATGCACTTATTTAAGATGCAAATAATGTCTTACTGTTACGTGATCTGTTTGTTTTATATCATTAGAAAATAAACGCAATGAACTACATAGAAAAAAAACACAACATAAGAACACTGATTACTTACATAGTAAACGAATGAAGGAAATGAATATAGGATTACATACTTAACTCTATAATGAACTGCTATTGAAATAGTGTCAAACAGTAAAATAAGTATATAAGAATCTAATCAAAATTAAAATAAAAAAAAAAAGAATAGACAAAATTATCAACTTCTAAAAATATAATTTTCAAAATATTTTTATCATAATAATCAAATTTAACTATAGAAAATCTTTTTTTTTTCTACACTTTGTTATATAAAAATAAAACACTATCAATAGAAAATATTTTGAATGTTAATTTATTAAGAAAATAAAAACCAGAAGACAAAACTGTCAACGACCGAATAATATTTGCTTTTTGACTTCGAACATTAAACAGATATTATTATAAACATCAAATACTTAAAATTCTGTATATTATCAAAAAGAAAAGAAAAAATAATTTTCCTTTTTTTTTTTCAGACAAAAAAATTACCTATATAAATAAAATGGAATGCTGTCGTGAGTGTTTTTTTTTTTGTCTGTGTGGATTCAGAATGTTCAATCATATAGAGATAAAGAGAATTTTTCATTTATCCTGTCAATTCAATTACAAAACTATAGTTACCTATAATATTTATAAGAAATGACAATAATTTATATTGAAGGCGCATTTTTTTTTTTTTATCGCAATTGATAATAAAAGAAACAAAAAGAAAAGGAGTTATCCTACTCATCGCATGTATTTAGATCCTTGAAAAGAAAAATGCAAAAGCGCAACAAGATATAAAGATATTCTCCTATCAAATTACCTTTTCTCTTTGTTTTCAGGCATCAATTTATTTCTTACGGGTACACAAAAATACTATAAGAAATCTTTATTATTATTAGATCTCATGTTAATTCAATAGTTTTTTCTTCACATTTGTTTTCACTAAATGCGACATGAAATATCTAGTCATTATTGGCATATATCGAATTGTGATGTTGATAAATGTGCATAGACTTTTCTGATACTATAAATTGCTATCGTTAAAAGTTAATTTGTCTAATAATAGTTATTCGTCGGGAAAATATCAAAATTTTTTTTGTTTAATTTTTAGTAGTGATCGAAGTATTTAATTGTTAAATAGTATTAAAGGCCAATAATGTAGCTCAAAAACCTTTTCAATGTTCGTAGTATGTGAGAGCTAGAGATATTAATGAACTACTATGAAATTTGACAAGTCTTTGTCAAAATAATTCCTTAGAGATTTTGTCTCATATTCTAACCGGTACAAATGAACTTCGATTTCATTTCTCTGTTCTTGCTATATAGTTAATTATTAACTATTAATATGAATCAATAGGCGCATATGCGAACATCAAGAGGATAAATTACATCTAATTACTTTTTGATGACATATATATATCGTTATTACTTATTGAAGAGATACATTCATAGGTTTTCTGATTTTTGGTTCTTAAATGTTGTTTCAACAATGGTGAAAAAAATAGTACATCATAGTTACAAAGGGACTGTACATTAGAAAATGTATTCAATAAGAAAAAAATGTTAATGTTTCTTGGAATAAGTGAAATAGTGTTTTTCTCTTCTTTATTTCCCATGATGTTTTTGCACTATTGAATATTCGTCCGAGTTGAATAGTTGGCCCATTAGTGCTCTTGATATAATGGAAAATTTTGTATGCAAAATAACTCATTATTTCTCAAATTATCGAGATCATACACTTAGTGTTACAAAGTGTTTTTTATGTGTACCTCTGTATACATCCACAATAAAAATCTTCAGTTCATTTTTTAAATACACCATCAAATTCTCAAGATCAATCAAATAAAAAAATTGTTTGGCCTTGTCTAATGAGTTCTTAGTAAATTAAAAATAAAAAAAATAATATAGCACATTACTACTCCTCATTACACCGAAAATAGCAAAATTGTTTTTAATGATATCTATTTCGTATATATATTTATTACTCTTAAATCATAAAAAGTTTGAAGTTCTCTTTAGAACAAGTATCATTAAATTGTCCTCAATAATTAAAGTAAAGAGATGTCGTTATTCAAACTCATCATTTTGAAAGGAGTTATAATGAAACATTCATGAGATGTTAAGTAGAATGATAGAGTTCCATAGATCCTTTCAATACTTAAAAAAATTACTTCTTTCGGGAAGAGAAACTAATAAGATGTCAAAGAGTGAAAAATGACAACATCTTTTATTTTATTCTTTTTAATCTTTTTCAAACGGATTATGGTGAATAAAGACGACATTCTATTTTAATTATTGTTGATAATTTAATGAGATTTCTTCGAAAATGTCTATTCAAAGTTTTTCGTGATGTATAAGCACGAAGATGAATTTCAGATATAAACATTTTTGTTTGACTTCCGATAGAACGAAAACTAGTCATTTTCTTTTTGTATACCTTTATTTTTAGTTTTCTAAAAAATCCATCAGATGTGTTCAAAAAAATATTATCTTTTTTTTTTTTTTATTTAATCAATGTTGAGCATTCGATTGCATATTTAAAAAATAAACAAACTATGTTGCAAAACATTTCTGGACAAAATATTGTTAACTAAATATATATTTTATTAGTATATTTCTAAATTTCTAAAAGAAAAGGAAATCACAAAAAAAAAAAATTTCTTTTTTTTTATAAAAAAACAAATCAAATCACCAATCAATTTATAAAAAAAAAAAAACAAAAACTTAGAAATTTAATCAATCAAATGTGAAAAAAATTTACTGGTATTCATTGACTTTTTGCTTTTAAAAAATTTTCATCGATTTGGAAAGTTACTTTATGCCAAGAATTATTCATAAGACCACGAATATTCCATATTCCTAATGGACTATCTGGTTGAGAATTGGAATGAGTATCCATTGCACGACAAACAATATCAAATGGTTTAGAAGGCATATTATTCAAAGGTATATGATAAGTCCAAAGGGTCCATGACCATGCACGCATATATGGTTGCTTAAGTTGTTCAAGTTCAGCTTGAAACCATGTTTTTCTAAAATAATTTTAATTTGTATTTCTTTTTTCAATAGATTAAATCTTTCAAGTTGAATTAAATTCAATATATATGATGAATTATGTGTAATACTAATTTTTTTGTTTTTCATCTGTAATAATATACTTTTATACTATAGCAAATTGAAAATTATTATTCATTTAACAATAAATTATTTTCTTTTTAATCTTCTTATAATTTCATATATATATATTTAGAAATCTTTTACTTTTTAATTTTGATTTATTTTCTGTGCTTCGATATATCTTTTTTCTCATTCACACAGAAGACTTATTCTCAATGATGTATGAACGTATATCCGAGTGCAATCATTTTATATTCTATTATTAGAATTCTATAAGTAATTAATTTATTCATAGCTATTTTCTAGACTATTATAAAAATTTATCAAGAACAAATGATTGCCTGAAATAGTTTTAAAGTAAAATGTTAAATAAAAAATTTATAAAGAATATTAATCGAGTGTCTAGCAAAAGGAAACATATTTGTTAAAATAATTTCTTGATTATATATATCATGACAAGAAATAATTGCTATGAAATTATTTATATATCTTACATAATTGATTAACAATGCTCAAATGCCTCGAACTATTATTGACGAAGATCTATAGTTCATATATGAAAGTTATTAATCTTTCCATGAATTATTTGATGTTTTTTTTTTAAATACACATATTGCTAGCTTCCTTATTCTCTTTGTAAATACTGAAGAATTTAATTTGTTGCGTTTATTAAACTTCATGTTT